GGGCCAGTGATTTCTTACGTGAACTATAACTTTCTCTTGTTATTCAGAATAAACTCTTAAGAAGCTAAAACTCTCAGCCAGGTTTTCCCAACTCTGAGATCTCATATAGTGGCGAATGAGTTGGATAAAAAGATCTCAAAAAGAATCAGAAGTGAGGAGGCTAGAAGGTGCCTTGGTTGTACTCAGAGGTGACTGTGAGGTACAGCTGGCCCAAGCCAGCCTGTGGGGCGAGTGCTGCCTGCTTGGTAATTGCTTCATTACAAGCAGAGACTGTTTGCAGGTGCCGAGATCACTCACTTGTGGGGTTTTATTGCACTCGTCAGATTAACAAATATTTTTGATTAAATCACCACTTCATTGGCTCTGAGCACATGACTTTTAATAAGAGGACAATACTGCTACTCAGCATCACTGCACATTCAATACTCAGATCTGCTGGGGGCAACAGAGGGACAAGGTGGGGAGACAGCCAGCTGCCAGGCTTTTCCCAAAGCACATAGTAACAGATCTCAAATCATTAAATATCCAAGCAAAAAGTAACCTCAGAGACCAAGATAGCAAATATAAATACCTAATATTTATAGTGGTATAAAGGGCAAAAAAAAAAGGGGGGGAAGATCTGCACCAGCATAAGACACTAAGAAAAGACATGCTCCATCAAATTTAAAACACTTAAAAAAAAAAATCGGGTGTCGAGGGTGGTGGGTTCAAACGTGACTGCAACAAAAAAATAGCTGGGCTTGTGGCAGGCAACTGTAGTCCCAGCTACTTGGGAGGCAGAGGCAAGAGAATTGCTTAAGCCCAAGAGTTTGAGGTTGCTGTGAGCTGTGATGCCACAGCACTCTAGCCAGGGTGACATAGTGACACTTTGTCTCAAAAAAAAAAAAAATCAGGTGTCAGCAAAACAAAAGACATCTGTGATCTGTGAGTTTATAAGCCCTGGTAAAGTTTAAATCCTTCATGTTACAGATGAGGAAACTAAAGTGCAAACAAGGGAGTTGACTCAGCCATTGTGGAGGATGAGCAAGAACTACAAAGGCTACTAGTAAGAATGAGCTACTGGGCAGTGCCAGTGGTTCAGTGGGTAGGGCACCAGCCCCATATACCAAGGGTTGCAGGTTCAAACCCAGCCCCGGCCGAACTGCAACAAAAACATAGCCAGGTGTTGTGATGGGCATCTGTAGTCCCAGCTACTCGGGAGGCTGAGGCAAGAGTATCGCCTAAGCCCAGGAGTTGGAGTTTGCTGTGAGAGGTGTGATGCCACGGCACTCTACCGAGGGCGATAAAATGAAACTCTGTCTCCACACACACAAAAAAAGAATGAGCTACCATTTAACATTTATGTAGTGCCGATGCTGTGCCAGGATGTGCTAGGCACTTTATGCTATTATCTCATTTAATTCTCACAACCACACTTTGAGATAAGGTATGGTGCGATCAGCAATGGAGACTGCAGACTATCTGGGAAAATATGCTAGTCCCTTCTTCCACCATAATTGATCCACGACTGGGTATGTGGCCTCCTGACTGGTGAAACCATTTCCCAGTCCCCCTTGCAGTTTGGAGGGACCACAGATCTTCATTCTTGCCAACGGAAAGCGGGCAAGTTGGGCCTAGAATCCTTAAGATAGTGGGTATGCTTCCCCTATTCTCTTTTTCCTGCCAGTGGACACATCAACAGGGCACATCCTAGTTCCACTGATAAGGTGATAACAAGGCCCTAGGAGATAGCCGAATCATCACTATCCTGGTACTCTAGGCCAGGGCTTGGCAAACTATGGCCTGTGGGCCACATAGTCTACTGCCTCTTTTTATAAATATAGTTTTACTGGGACATCACCACACCCACATTGACATATTGCCTAAGGCTCCCTTTGTGTTAAGACAGCCTGAATACAGTTGGTTCTTTTTTTTTTTTGAGACAGAGCCTCAAGCTGTCACCCTGGGAGAATGCCGTGGCACCACAGCTCACAGCAACCTCCAGCTCCTGGGCTCAAGTATCTCCTATCTCACCTCCCAAGTAGCTGGGACTACAGGTGCCCGCCACAATGCCTGGGTATTTTTTATTTTTTTGGTTGCAGCCTCACTGTTGTTTGGCAGGCCTGGGCTAGATTGGAATCTGCTAACTTAGGTGTATGTGGCTGGCGCCTTAGCCACTTGAGCCACAGGTGCCAAGCCTACAGTTGGTTCTTGTTGTTCATGGTAGTTATGTTCTAGAAAGTTGCCACTAACTTTGAATGAGCAAATACTGAACCAGGTAGGTTCTTGCAAGCCTCTGGTCACAATAATTTTAGCAACTCACCTATATGAGACCTTGTTTTATGTGTATTTCTGGTTTTTGTTGTTGTTGTTTTATTTTCATTTATTTTCTTATTTACTGCTTATCTTTCCTTTGGACTATAAGCTTCAGTTCATTGTTTTTTTGTTTGTTTGTTTGTTTTTTGAGACAGAGTCTCACCATGTCGCGTTAGGTAGAGTGTGGTGGTATCACAGCTCATAGCAACTTCCAACTCCTGGGCTTCTGTGATTCTCTTGCCTCTGCCTCCCAAATAGCTGGGACTACTGGCACCTGCCACAATGCCCAGGTATATTTTTGCTGCAGTTGTTTAGCTGGCCCCAGCTGGGTTCGAACCTGCCACCCTTGATGTATGTGGCTGGCCCTGTAACCACTGTGCTATGGGTTCCAAGCCTGTATTTCTGTTTAGTGATCTTATCTAATATATATTGTTGATTCACTAACATTGAACTTATGGCCAATGCATGTGTAGTGCTGACTTATCTCATGAATTATATCAAGGCAGAACAAAGTTTATCTAAGAAACTTATTTTCTCTGTAAGGCACATCACAGCCTTCTTGCACTTAGGAAGACCAGATAGCACTTCAGCACTACACTTGAGAGCCAGTTTAAACAGCAAAATGACCAATAAAAAAACATAAGAATGCAAAACCCAGGGCACTAAATAGACCACAAAAAAGGGATACTTGTTCATAGTCTGACAGGTGAAACAAGAAGGTGGAACATCACTTGTTCAACCTTGGCTGGGTACATGTACCTCAGGTGACTGAAATCTTCTGTTTTGCTTTACAGTTGCTAATGAATGACTGCAAAAGTGCAATGGGTACTGATTTTGGAGTTACAGATACATTTTAGCTAGAAGGCAAATTCAAATTATAGAATCTCTGAATAATGGATGTAGTTGCAACAGAGACCCTATGGTCCACAAAGCCTAAAATATTTACTAACCCTCAACTGACAACATCTGCTGACCCCTGCACTAGCTTGTTAGAAAAAAAATTTTTTTTTCTTTTTTATGAAGTCACTGAGTTTTGGAGTTTCTCTGTTGTAGCAGCTTATTGTGGTAATACAGGCTATAAAGTCTATGTTCTACTCAATACATAGTGCCATATCATTTCACCATGCATAAACTATCCTCTTTTAGAAAAAGATTTACATTTCCATCAACCTTTTTTTCCTACCAAGTAGGCCAACATTTCTCAAGGGGAGCTACTAAAACTACCTGCAACATCATGGGTGTATGTGGCTTGTCAAAAATGCAGATTTTTGACAAGCCACAAGGATTTAAAATGCACACCCAAGTCTTACTGAATTACTCAGGGTACGGGAAGAGTTCAACTATCCAATTTCTTTTCTTTAAAGCAGTTTTTGGCCAGGACTGGGTTTGAATCTGCCACAGCATATGGGGCCGGCGCCCTACTCCTTTGAGCCACAGGCGCCACCCCAACTATCCATTTTTAACAACTCTTTAAATGATTCTATGCATCCTGAAGTTTAAGAATCCTTGAACTCTGCCATAAGCCTATTACCCTGTACCTCTCTTGCAACTTCTGGCAGGATGTCCTAAAAGAGAACTGCAGCAGGGAACCAAGATGGAATGCACACTCCCAGGAAGACCTTCTAAGCTTGTTTCTTAGCCCCACCACCTCCACCACCTCACCCTGAGTTCTACTTGAAACTGGTTTCCTCATCTGTACAAATCTCATAGGCTGCCAGGAAGGATTAACTGTGAATGTAAGTGAAAGTAGCATGTAGTAGTTGCTCAAAAGGCATCAGTTTTCTTTCTCTTCTATATGCAGTAAATTATTTCTAAATCCTTTGGTAACATCATCAATTCCAGAATTCTTTTTACAGATTCTCTTTACAAAGTTTCCCAAACTGTGTCCGGGCACAGTGGCTCATGGCTGTAATCCTAGCACTCTGGGAGGCCGAGGCGGGTGGATTGCTTGAGCTCATGAGTTCGAAACCAACCTGAGCCGAAGCGAGACACCGCCCCCCACACGTAAGGATCACTTGACCCCAAAGAGTTGGAGGTTGCTGTGACCTATGACACCACAGCACTCTACCCAGGCGACAGCTTGAGACTGTCTCAAAAAACAAAACAAACAACAAAACAAAACAAACAAAACCCCCAAAGGTTCCCAAAGTAACTTGCAAGTTACAAACTTCTGTACGCTAAAGGAAAAATTTCCCACGTCAGGGGATATTTAAGCCACTAGGAATATACTAAACAACGTGGCTTCTCTCACCTTTAGCTCCTAGCCCTTTGGGAGTTGCCTTCATCCTCAGGTCCCCAGTTCTTTGGGGTCCCCTTCACCCGGAGGACCCACCCCTTTTGCTTGTATGTCGCCCTCAAGTCTTCTTTACTTCCAGGCCCCGCCCCCTCGGTCCCTTCTCTTCTACGCTGTTTCCTTCCGGGCTCCCCTTCACCTTCACGTCTCTTCCCCTCCGGAGGTCCCCTCACCTCCGGCTCTGCCATCTGGCAGCTCCTCCGGCTCCCTCACCTTTGGTTCCCCCCCTCCTTCCTGTCCCCCTTCTCCGGGGACCTGGTCAGGCCTTCTCACCCCCAGCTTCCGCTCTCCCAAACCAGCGTCGCCCTCCCTTCCTCGGCTGGGTTCCTCCTCCCACCTATAGCCCGGCTGAGCCCTTAACCCTTGGGGAAGGTCGCTGAAGATGTGGCCCAACCCCCACGTCTCCCCTCACCTCCAGAGCGACGCCCAGACTCTCCCGCTTCTTTTTAGTCATGTTACTTGCCGAGATCCCCCAGTCATTACTGGACGCGCTCATCAAGCCTCATTACGCATGCGCAAGTCTCTACACATTTCCCCCCCTCTCATTGGTTGCCGAGTCAGCGGAAGGTGGGGCTACTTCAATCAGTCGCCACATTACTGAGGGGCGCGGTCCGCTTGGTGCGGCCATGGTTATGAGGGGCAGCCTCTAGTTTGAGGCCTCAGCCTGGGAGTGGGGAGAGAAAGGTCAGCCAACACCGTGAAGAATAGTGACCCCCACTACGGTGGAGCTACCCCTTTCCTGCCCAGCTCAAAACCGCTTTTACTCTCTGAGAGCCTTTTTTTTTTTTTTTTTTTGAGACGGAGAGTCTTACTCTGGGTAGAGCTCCGTGGCGTCGTAGCTCACTGCAAACTGCAGCTCAAGCGATCCTCCTGCCTCAGCCTCTCGAGTATCTGGGACTACAGGCGCTCATCACTACACCTGGCTGATTATTATTACTATTATTATTATTTTTAAACTTTATCCAAATTAATATGAGGGTACAATATTTAGGTTACATTGTTCTTTGCCCTTCCAGGGCAAAGTTCCATTTATAGAAGAGCCCCTCACCCAAGGGGCGTGTTATATACCCTTGCAACATGCACCTTGGGTGAGATCCCACCTCATTATTTGAGACAGAGTCTCACTCTGTTGTCCAGGCTAAGTGCTGTGGTGTCAGTCAAGCTCACAGCAACCTCAGACTCTGAGCTGAAGCAATCCTCCTGCGTCAGCCTCCAGAGTAGCTGGGACTACAGGTGCCGCCACAACACCTGCTAGTTTTTTCTATTTTTAGGGGAGACAGTTGTACAGGCTGGTCTCCAGCTCCTGACCTCAAGCAATCCACCTGCCTTGGCCTGCCAGAGTGCTAGAGAGAGCTTTTTTTTTTAACATTAGCTTCTCCTTCTGTGCCTTTCATCCTTCAGCTACCACTCCATCCTGTTTTAGGTCACATCCCCTACTTTATTCAATTTCTCTCCATTCTTCAAAGCCCAACCTGGCCTCTGCTAGGGAAGCCCCACCTTAAGCCCCTTAGTCCTGTGGGATCTGATAATTACTACTCCTCCTTTTTGTCTTGTGTTCTTACTAATTTCTCTTGTTTCATTGCAAAAACAGCCTACAACCATTATACAAAACTTACAAATGAGAAGTAGTATCTTCTATCCTGCCCATCGTACCAGTTCTTATCTTTGCATCTATATACGTGTTTGTTCCAGATTTGGTCTCATGCATGTTATTTTATACTTTGTAATCTTCCAGTACATTGTAGAGCATAGGCTTTGAAATGCTTTGACTGTGACCCCAAGATAAAAAATATATTTTATATCATAGCCCAGTTACCTATATAACTGAAACCAAAGTTTCACAATAAATGCCTTAGCCACCTGCGATATACACGCTGTTATTTTTTTCTAGTCTAGTTGATTTTGTAAAAAGCTGCTGGCTGGAAACCTAGGAAGTTTATTTCATGACCTACTAATGGAGAGTGAACCGCAATTTGAAAAACACTGTCACAGACATCTTCCCAGGTCTTTGAAATCATGGTGATGGCTGCATGTGCCACCAAGCGAATAGATCCTTTTCTGGCATTGGATATTATTTTACTGGACACTACCTCCAAATTGTGCTAAAGCAAACATCTTCATGCACATAGCTCTGTCCTGGATTCTTCTTCTTCTTTTTTTTTTTTATTAAAAAAAGATAAATTCAAGGAATTGGAATTACTGGGTCAAAGAGTATGAAACTCGAATTGAAGCTCCTTATTTCCTGACCAGTTATCTCTCTAATGGAGTCTGTGTTTTTGTGTGTGACTAATAACCCCAACTCAGTGTTTGGGGGGAAAAGTGTTTTTAGATCTGTGTTTACTTCTTGATAGAGTCATTGAGTGATGGAGCTGAAAGGGACCTGAGATACCATCTTGCCTGGCTGCCTGACTGAGGCCCACAGAGGGAAAATGTAGCAAATGCTGTCTGAATAGGAAGCAGGCCTTTGAGCGGTTGTTCAGTGCAGTTCTCAGCTTAATACCCAGCACAGGAAAAACTTACTCAAGAACATTGTCCATCAACTGTCAATCAACAACATTTATTGTCAGAACATTCTTCACAGCATTGGTTCCAATCCCAGAAAAACCAGACTCTGTGCTTCCCAATTATCACAGGCACCAGCCCAGGGGAGGTGAGAAGAGGAGGAAAAACACTGTGTTCTTTTAGAAGTGGCTCCTTCTGCATTTGTTTGGCACCAAGAAAAAAACCACAGAGAGCTGGGTGTGCCTCATGTTGGCCCTTTGTCTCTTTCTCCCATCGCCCCTGCAAAGCAACGGGCCAGCTCTTGTCTTGCTGAAGAGCCTCATATTTTCCCAACCAAACCTTGTCCCACGAGTCTGATAATGGGACAAAACACTTGAAATGAGACTGGAATGACAGCCTACATGGGCTGTCATGAAAGGGGAAACTTTTAGGGTGAGATTCATCTGGATTCCCATCTCAGCTCTGCCACATAGCAGTGGTATGATGTGGGGCAAGACATTTCATTCATCTCACTAAGCCTCAGTTTCCACGTCTATAAAACAAGCACATCATGCCAGGTTTGTAGGGTCATTGTGAGCATTACTAAGTGGTCAGTGCTGTGACTTGTGAGTAACCAGGAGAGACTGCAGGATTGATGAGCCTGCTGCCAGCTTGTCATTATATGGATTCACTTAGCAATTGTTGCCATTGGTACTTTGTATTATTTTTTTGATTACTATCAGCTTTGACACTATTGTATAGCAAGTGTTGTTACGAGTTTGGGGCAATATTTGGGTTGTTTCCTGCTATCAAAAGTCCATAGTCCACTGCAAAAGGCAACCTCCAACACAAGAGTCTCTCCATAGAAAGGAGATGCCCTTTCCACCTCTCTCTGTGTCCTTCCTGCTGAGACTATCAGTCAATTTTATATGCCCAGGCATTGCAGACAGTGGTGACCCCCCTGGTGTAGGGGAAGATGCAAACCTCCCAGATAACTGAGGTCCTTTCATCCCACCCCCTCCCCCGCCCCCAGTCCCTACCTAGCACATACAGAGACCCTGCTTTGATTCCCGTGTGGGCGGTTTGCTGAACCTTAGTGAAGCTTGGCCTGGCTCTGAGTTGGGAATTCTGTCTAAGAGCACATGGATTGCTGTGGGTGATCTGTCTGTTTGTCTGTTCCCCAGTGAGCTGTGATTCTGAACCACCTATTTAAGGTTTTTAGAAGTAAATGTTTAAGGAACTAGAGCATTGCATTGGCAGCCGGTAGAACTGGCATGATTCCTGCCTAGGCCAGGTTCTCACTGCATGACCTTGGGCAGGTCAAGCCTCATCTTTGGGGCTCAATTTCCTCGTCTGCAAAATGGGGCCAATGGGGGAGAACTAGGCAGTTTAGACACCCTCGGATTCTGTTTTTCATGACCTTGTTATTTGTAAGGTGTTCCTACATAAGGCTCCTTCATTAGCTTAACGTAGAAATATAAGAACTACTCATTACCCTGAAGATCTCTTAAATCTAGTTAGAGAGGCAGACTGACGACATGAAATAGTGAATGCCAGACATCATATATTATAATTAAATGCCGGCTGTCTGGTACTTACAGTTGATGCATTGGGAGCTCAGAAATAAGAGAATGATGTAGGTATTTTGGGGTGGCTCTCTGGAGGCTATGGGTCCCAAGGACAGATGAGATGGATTAGGCAATATGGGGGAGAAAGCATCCCAGGTGGGGACTCAAGGGGTTTCCTGTGCCAGAAGGAGGCACCCTTTTCAATTCTGTATAAAAGCATTGTGCATGCTATCAACTAGCCTGGCTTATTTGTCCTGGAGACCCTGGAAGAACAATTTTTTCTGTCCCTTGCCTCATTCTGGGTTTGCCTAAGGTTTGGGGCCCAGTCTTGGGTCCCTACGACTGCCCTGAGGGAAACTTTTCAGGCCAGGAGTGAGGGAAAGCGGCAACATTCACTGTCAGAAGCATTTCAGGCAGGAAATGAAGAATTTTGTAGGTGGTTAAAAATACAGTGGAAGCTGATTTATGTTTGAATTTTGTTCCAGGACAGCAGATTATAGCCCAAGTTCTGAGGCAAAGGCAGCGGTGTCTTTATAGCCTGCTTGGATCAGTTTTATGTCTTAGTGCGTTTTATATGTTTCAGCTCAGGCAAGATGCTCGAACTTTTTTGTCCACATACCTCACTGAGGAAACCTCCTTGCAACCAAGTTCATTTTACCATGTTAAGAAAAGAAAGCAAAATAGATGAAAAGAATGTTTTGGCTTGCTATTTCGTCGGTATCCAGTTTTTTGTTCAATTAAATCAAGTCATAAATACCAGAAAACAACGAATCCACAGGAGACTGAAGTAGATGTCAGGTGACATCATGGAAACCAAAGGATGGGGCAAATATGATCGAATATGCAGACCACTCTCATCCTCCTGATGAGAAGAAATTTCTATCAAATATTAGAGTCCAGATAAGCCCTGTGGCCTTTTCTAGCAAGCTGCTTGGCTTTTATTCTGTGGCTACCATACCTTTTATAACTGATCGTGTTCCCTACTTTCCTTTGCTCATGAGAAAGCGAAAGCCAAACGTGTTCAGGGATTTTGAGCATCTAAGTGTCCATGTACCAGCGTTTTCCCTGGCTTTGTGTTAGTTTTCTATCCTTGTTTTCTCTCTGCTCTATCACTGTACCTATTTTTATCGCATTGTATTGTGTGCATTTTGGTAAGCTACCTCAAATCCTTTTTTGGAACACAAAGGAACATAAATAAATCAATAAATATATCCTGTGTTTGTAAATATAGCACTGTGTTCTTTCGAAAGCGATTTTTGTATCCCTTAGCTCTGCGGGTCCTCAGATACCTCTGTGAGGAAAGTAGGGCAGACTCAATTGCCCCTATTTTGCAGACAAGGAAGTTGAGGCACACCTATGAATGAGGTGATTTACAGGAGAGGATAGATTTCTTGTTTTTATTATTTCAAAATATGTATTTTTTGAGACAGAGTTTCACTCTGTTGCCTAG